CCGAAACAAGGCGAGATAACCCATTCCACTCAAAGGGCAGACTCCGGAGCGCCATCCCAAGTACACACCCAGACTCAAGCAGTCCAACACTTCCCCGCCGTGGCAACGGAAAATGAAACAACTTAATCGAGATTTTTTTAATCCAGGAAAAAACAAATCAAGCGCATTAAAAGGAAGATATCTGGACCGAAGTCGAGAGATTGGGTAGAAAAGAACAAGAGCCGCAGTAGTCCACACCGCTAGTAATTAAGAGGGAAAATGGTGCCAGCTGAGAAGCTTCAGTGGACAATGTACAAATGAAACATCAGCAAACAGGCCAAAATTCATCAACCTACAGAGGTCTCACGACTCAACAAAGCCGTAAAATATTATAAAACCGTGCTCGTAGGAAAGAAGAAACGATAAGACAGGATATTGAACAGGTTATATACACAGCAGCTGCCCACTCGGAGGTCAAGATCAGGACCTTGTGGTAAAGGCTGCAAGAAATAAAGCATCTAGACTGAAGTTAGTGAGAATTATTGACTACAACTTGGGGACGATGAAGATACTTATGGGGAATCGGACGATTTAGCAGTTTTGCAACGGGATGGTACCCGTCCATCGGCATCTCCTTAGTGCTTTTGTCTTCACACGCGGGAATAAGAGCCGCTGGCAGTGCAGATGGCGAAGAGTTTAAGACAAACTCCTCTGCAAATGAGTTGATATTCTGCTTCAAGGAGCCAGAATCAGTCGTATTTAAACCGTATGAGAAAGGTCTCAGGTCTGAAACGGGATCTGGAAACTTGTAGTATACAGTTTGCCCATGCGGAACGTAGGTGAACGAATCACTAAGAGAGGGCGGCTTTTCCAGTTGCGGAGGTGTATTTCCCGGAGGACCTTCAATTTGCTCGATAGCCATTACAAGATGCTCCAAACGTGCAGCAGTGCCAATGGTACTCTCAGGAGGCGAAGCGGACGAGACAGGTGGCAGTCGAGTCGTCGAAGGCGGAGAGCACCCAAAATTGCCATCGTAACAGTCGGAGGAGCGACCCGAAGCGTTGCCGTCATCAAGATCAAGAAGTGCCGTCTCAGCATCCTGCTTAGCCATCTTTAGTGATTCCACAGTCTTTCCTACAGGGTATGAATTATTTCAGCGAATACACCTTACCCTGATCTTCAGTGCGACGCTTCCTTGCAAAACCGGTCGCAACTTCTTCAGTGATATCTGCAAGTACCGATGATGGAGGCAGACCAGAAGAGCGCCGGTAGAGCGCTAGTTCCTGCTCCAGAGCATTCACTTTCAGGAGAAGAGTGTTGACAAGTTTTGCAGTTTGTTGCAAAATTGACGCCTACCAGAGTTAAATTGGGAAATGCAAATTCACCTTGCTTAATTTTTCACCATCCTGTGTGGGTGGCAAAAGAATTCTGAGGTTTTCAAAACCTGCATTGATGCTCTGCATCCTACGTCGCTCATTGCAGTTTGCAATCTCACGTCTAACACGTTTTTCATTTTCGACTTGACCAGACTTAGAGATATCCGAAATATTGCTTCTATAAGAAAATTCTAGACCGTTGAACGCATAAAAGCGGAAATATGAAAGTAAAAACAACAGGTAAAGGTGGGAAAGATGCATACAATATGACACATGACACACCAAGAGGCAGTCACATGCAAGATGGCGTCCCATGTGCACAGACGTACCGTCGATGCTTCATGCCTGTTTCTTCAGCGTATTCAGAGAAAGTGCGTCTTCTATCTATTAATTCTACCTTATGAGACATGAACGTGTCTTCAAAACGAACGTGGAAAATGATGACAACACACGAAAAACGAGCACAGGGAGAGAAAACAAAACGTCGCCGGTCGCACGACAGGAATCACATAATCGACCGCGCCTAATAACACGCGAAAACAGTTAAGAATCGAATTTAAAAATTTTGCGTTAACAAGTAACGAACACGTATTATTTCGCTTTAAATCTATAAAATTCACGTAAAATATTAGCATTGTTAAGGAAAGTTTCTGATTTATTTAGAAAGAAAGCTTTTATATCCTAAGCATTAAATTATCTTACGTTGTTATAGCAATAACATGGCGGATGCAACCATGTAGAGGTTAGTAAAACAAACAATTTTAGTGCGTTTAAAAATATATATAATTATAACGCAAGTGATTTCGAATCTTATCTGAATTAATATTTTATGAGATTTAAACTTTTATG